AGAGAGAGAGAGAGAGAGAGAGAGAGAGAGAGAGAGAGAGAGAGAGAGAGAGAGAGAGAAGGTTTGGACTTGGGAAGGGTTGGGAAGGTCATGCATCAGATGCTCAACCTACCTTGCACAACTTCATAGTTGTGGAATTTCGTAACTCCGAGGCCTCTAACCATTCGCTTTACTCCATGACGACAATTTCATACCACTTCATAGTTCTTCAGACGACTGGACCACCAATCAGGCACTTCCCCCATACATATTGTCTTGAGAATAGGGACGCAAGGCTGCACACACATGCACGGGTGTTCCTCCGTGCGTCTAGATGCGGCTACACAAGTCCAGAACAGTTCATTCGGTCGGGTCTTCCTGCGCATCTGGGTGTGACTACTGTGTCCCCACAAATAGAACGTACGGTCGTTATCACTTTATCTATACTGAATGTTGCACCCCAAAACAAAATACAGCTATAATGACCAGGGATTCTGTTCGGGAGAAGACGGTAGACAAGTCCAGATGAGCTCATCTGACCTTCCTGGGTGGACAGGTGATGCAGAAGTCACGATGAGAAAATGACAAACGCTTGTCCGAGGTGAGCAAAACACCTGGTATGCTACACAAGCTTGCCAGGCAGAGTCTGCATGGAGTGCGGAGTTGGATATTTTCCCCGGACAAGCGTGGGATGAGGAAGCGGAAAGAAAGTCTTCTAGAAAAACTACTTACCGAGTCTGAAGCGCTCATTGTGTTGATGCCAACAGCCACAGCAGGTCCAACCAAGCTTGGACGTCGGGAATACCTGGGACTCTGGTCCTTGTTAGAGGCTCGGGCCTGACCATCACGAGGGGTAGAATGTAGGTGAGGGGTGGACGGTGGCTTATCAGCAACAGCTTCCACCTCCCTTCTCCGCTGCGTGAACTGTTGTGTGTCTGGATCTGCAACAGTCTGCACATTCAAATTGCAGGGAATTGGGTCGCATTATCAAACCGAGTATTCCACAGATCAGCATACAGAGAGCAAGAAAGAACAAAACCAGCAAACCCAGCAAAACCAGCAAAAACAGTTGAAAACAACCAGAAACAGGCAAAACAACAAAACCTGCAAAACCTGCAAAACCTGCAAAAACCTGCAAAAACTGCAAGAACTGCAAAAACTGTCGGTAAAAAAAACAAAACAAAACAAAAAAAGAATCGCATCATCAAACCAACTATTACACCGATAATCATACAGGGAGCAGCAGCAACAATAACAGCAAAAAAACAGCCAAAACAGCAAAGTCCGAAAAAGAAGCAAAAACTGTGGCGCCAACTGCCCTGCAGGAGAAGATAAAAACTTTTTGAAACAACACGTGCAGAAAATGGGCCCAGAGGTACAGGAAATTATGGGTGGTGCAGATGAAGAGAGTGATAGGAGCAATTGTTCTCTGACACGGGTGGGGTCAGGGAAGGGTGCACGCAGGCCCTGCGCAAAATAATTAAAAAAAAGTAAAAATAAAAATAAAATCAAAAGAATCAGGAAAAGATTCACAAGAAGTATGTTCTGTAAAATTGCATTGCAAACAATTTTTGGCTGCTGAGGATCACCTTGTACCCCTTTGAATCCCTTTTAAAGGTGATCCTCAGCAGCCAAAAGTTTTTGGATCCCAGGAGGTTTTAAAGGGATTCAAAGGGGTACAAGGTGATCCTCCAGGGTAACAGGAAGATAAGGCCGGATTCTGCCTGCGTGCTCAGGCCAAGCGCGGTCCTGCTGGCCTCAAGTAAAGCGTGTTTGTTTTTGGATCCTTGCCTCTTTTTTTTGACCCGCCAGTTTTCTCCGGGTGGACCCCTCCCTGCCGACCCGCCCGGGCTGGCTGGTAGCCTCATATTTTTTTCTTTTTTGCAAAAAAAATGTTCATCATAGCCCGATTTGTTTATACCTTGAAAAGGCGTGTGGTGCAGTGCAAGGCTACTACCTTCAGAAGCAAAAAAAATCCACTACTACCCAAACCGACTGGAAGAGAGGAAGCTGAATGTGGTAGACCTACTACGCAGTAGGACTGATCATCCTGGGCAGCAGTGCATCAGGCGAGGAGATTGACAAAAGACGAAGATGATGTTGCCCGGTACGGCTAACTGCCCCACAGGCGGCATGGGCCACATCAGCCTAGGGCAATACGGGAGAGGTCAGGAGGACGAAGAGGAAGAGGAGGAAGAGGAAGCGGAAGAGGAAGAGGTGGAGGAGGAGGACAAAGAAAATATCACAAAAGTCCATGGGAGGGCCTATACCGTCTGTCTTCCCTCTTTTTCTCCCGCATGCTCACAGAAACATATACATACATCCTGTCTCTCTCTCCCTACCCTTCTCTTTCTCCCTACCCGCCTCTTTCTCCCTTCTCCATGTTTGACCTCCTGATGAGTCTGTGAAAGTCCGACGAAAAAACAGCCTTGGGAGAGGGAGAGAGGACATCCTCCACCTCATCGGATGATGACAAAGGTGCAACTTACACTTGCAGGGGTAACTGTCTCATCCAGAACTTCCGTCTCTGGAATCTGAGGCAGCTGATCTCCAGTATCAGTAAGCATGGGACCAGCGCCCGAAGGCGTGTGCGCTTCTGCTTGCACTTTCATCAACTGTCTCGCCTGTCACAACAAGCATCACATCCATTAAAATTGGAACGATACAGAGAAGATTAGCATGACCCCTGTGCAAAAGGGGAAAAAAAGAACAACAACAGTACAACTGGAAGCCAGTGAGTGAACCCCCCAATACTGACTGCTTGACCAACACCCACATTCTTCCTGATGCCTTACCCGACAACTCATAATAAAATTAAATAAATCAATAATAACCTTCGTTACCCTGTTATTAACCCATCATTGCCCCATCATTGCCCCGTTATTACCCCGTCATTGCCCCATCATTACCCCCTCATTACCCCCTCATTCACTCATTTGGAACTCCTTCGTTAGACTCTCATTACCCCCTAGTGTGTTCAACAATTGAATGACTATCTTTCTTGTACCTTTTCCATTGCTTTTCAACAAAGAAGAAGAAGAAAGGGGGTTGCAGATGAACAGCCATGACTTTTTGGATTGTCTAAATTTCATTTCCACAAGGACATGGGAATAGACCGAGAACTCTATACAAGGACCTGGTGTGCTGGCGAGTAGGCGAGGAAGACGGAGAGAGGGGTAAGGAAAGGGAAATGCATCTCAGCTACTGGTTTCAAAATTTCCACACACTTTCTTTATTACACATCCGTTAAAATTGGAACGATACAGAGACGACTAGCATGCCCCCTGCAAAAGGATGACCCACATAAATCAAGAAACAAATGCATCCCTCCCTCAGCGGGTGAGCCAGGCAAAGTCTGATGGGGCTTCTTCTGTGGGAGACAAGAGAGACGAGATTCGAGAGAGACTCTTGGCACCTGACGAGTGCATACCCAGACATTAAGCTTGGCAAAGGCTCTGAAAGCAATAGCCGGGTGGGTCAGGCGAGGTCCGGGGGGGGGGGGGGGGGCGGATGGGGGCCAGGACAAAGTATGGAATAACCACTGGAGTGGGTAATCATGGTGTGCAAGGACGTAATGGGGGTAAGCGCTATGGAATAAATCAAATGGAATGTCAACGGGGCAAAGAAAGGACATACTCCGGAAAACACAGCCAAAAGCGCAAGAATAGAGTAAGGGCACTGCCGCAAAGGGCGCAACCTTCTGTAAAGGGTATTGTCAGAGGCTGCAAATCTCACAAGCATGTACTTGACTCCGAATTTTGATATAATGCAAAATGGGAATCCGACCTATAAGAATGAGAATGACTGGAATCATGAAAGAATAAGGAACAGAGAGCAGCGAAGCAATAAAGGGAAGAAAGGGGGGGGGGGGGGGGGGGGGGGGGTTGGGGACATTCTCTCCTTAAAGCCACCAGTACTTGAACAGGATACGCCTGTTAACGTGATGGCCTTTCAGGGATGAACGGCCCTGCCTGTGCCTGGTTAAATTCAAATGCGTCCGGAGGCCCGCAGAGGCTTAAGGAGCGACTCCAGGTCCTGGTCGTGGGGAAAAAATAAAAAAAAGTTTTCGATTTCCTGTCTCAGTCAATGAGTACGAGGATGCAGCTGCCCTTAGACAGAAGGCAGAGTCTAACTATCTCTGGCAGACAACTTTTTTTGTTTGGTAGACTTTTGTCTTTTTTAAGTTTTTTCCTTTTCAAAAAGGGAGTGGCCCCTAACATTACTGTATTTCCATCGATGGGATTTAAACTCATGATCTGTTCATTCTGTTTCACTAGCAGTTACAGTGTGCGTAGTCACTGTCTACCATCCTGCCATACTGGCTGGGTTTGACGAGCAGCTCAAACCACGCGTCATTCTTTTTCCTTTTTCTTTATTTGGAAAAGAAAAGGGGGGAGGGGAACCGGAATTGAGGGTAGTTGAGGGGCGGGTTTCTTTGCCGCGTCCCGATCTGGACCCAGATCGATCCGGCTAAAAATTGGGGTCGGGTTGTGCAAGACTCAGTTGGGCCTGTTATGGTTCGTCTCTGCCCACCCTCCGACCAGGCATAGTTTTTAAGCGAGCGTGGCTCGGAACTGCAGGCTTGGAAAAACAGGGAGAAGGGAAACCAGAGGCGGGGGTAATTGAGGGGAGGGTTTCTTTGCCCTGTCCCAATCTGGGCCCAGATAGATCAGGCTAGGAAAGGGGCTGGGCTGTGCAAGACTTTTGTTTTGTGTCTGGTAGTCCTCCGACCAGGCCCAGCTTTTAACCGAGCGAGGCTTGGAAAAACAGTTCGGTGGGTAGTCATGATCTGAGGGTGGTACAATGGTCCATCGGACTCCCTTCTTCACTAACCACTGCTGCTACTGACTGACAAGGGTACTGTACTACTTACCCTTGCGATTGCTTCTGCAGTCTCTTGCTCCATCCTTCGAATGTCATCCATTGTGAGCCCAAACCATTCATCGAGCCAACAAAAGCACTTCCGATGTCCCTCCAGCAAAACCTTCCTCTGAGCTGTCTGCAGAATTCGAAAAAGGAGCACAGAGATCAACACAAAAGTTTATCAACTCTAAGCTCAGAAAATGATGATACGTCTCAAAAGGTCGAAAAGCAGAACTGCGATGCGGTCCAAAGGAGAGCATGGACAAGCATGATCCACTTATGGGAGAGATGCCGACGAGTGACGTCATTCGTCTTTTTCCCCCTTGCCAGGTCCTGGTAAGCGGAAAAGCAGCATCTATAGGAAATCACCGTAGATTAAAATATTAAAAATAAGTTTAAATAACATATTAAATAATAAATTAATAATAAAATTGCAGTGGGATCAGCATTTTTATGCATGGACACCCACGATCTCAATTTCAAGAGTTAGTAGTCATGATTAATCCCATGTGTGGGGGAGCAATCAAATGCTATCAGAAGCCATTAAAAACAAAGGAGTTAAAAAAGGACCGATAACATGCAAACTGGAATGACAAAGCAAAAGCTCTGTTCACTTACAGAACGACAGGGCAGGTCAGGAGGAGCGTCTGGCCTGACGTACAGGGTCTCCTTGAGGTTATGATGATTTGTCAGAAGACGCAGAACAAATCTGTGATCACCAACAATGGACAAGGAAGCAGAAGGGCCTTCATGCTCACTTCAACCGCCACTACACGGCTCCAGCCTTGCAGAGAATTGAGCGTTGCCAACTCCGAAATGATTTTCGAGGCTTGGGGCTACGCAACAACAATGGCTGGTCGCGCCAGCCAGGAAAGAAAAGAAGTGCGCCGCTGGAGGTTCACAAAAGCTTGGCGCACAGTGCAGCGCCTCCAGGCCCAGGTGTACTGGTGGTGTAAGGCCGACCCAGATGCGTACTTCCCGCACCTTTCTTGTGGTTCTTGTTGTTTTAAAATTGAAATCGCAAAGCTGACGGGTTCAGATTTCGAGCCTCAGAGGAATCCATAAGAAGGGCAAGCTGACATTCGTCCCCCATGCATATCGAGCAGTCAATACTGTTCAGGAGGGTCCTCCTGTGAAACGGAAGGAAGCGTGAGGGTCGACAGATTGTATATTCAGGACTTGGAGGGGGGGAAGCAACCAGACTGAAACTCCCCACAATGGGCATGGAGCCAGGACAACACATGCCTATTTTTCAGAGGGAAAAAAACTCTCCGATCACTGCGATCAGGCTAAATCATCAAATGGTTGGTTGTGTCCAACCCTTGCAAGGGTGGATTGGATTTTGTGAATTTTGTCGTTTTCTTTCAACTTGGACGATTTCTTGATTTACGCATACCATCCGTGCGCAGCGGTCACACTAATCGTCTCCAAAATGTTCCAATTTTGACGGATGGTTTTGTGAGGGACAAGGGGTTTTGAGGCCGTCGTGCGGAAAGGCTCGGGCATCCTATCTCCTGAGTATAAGCAGCAGTACTTGCCCCGTACATCGGCCGAGGGCCCTTTTTGTGCACGCGCCGCGACTTTCGGGGCCTCGGCGCCGCTGATAAATTTCACCAACGACCATTTTCTCATTTACGGCCTCCGAAAGTCGCGGCGAGGGACCTGCGACCGATGTATGGAGCAAGTACTGGTGGTTGCCATTCAGAAGGTTTTGCGACATGCGCGTAGCTTCCAGGGATGGGTTCTTAAGATCAACTTATGGACCTAGGACAGTGGCCAGCCTTCTGCAATGTTGAGTGGGATCAGGAAAAAAGTAAGGGGGGAGTGGGAGGGGTTCTTGTCCAAAAAAAGAGACACCGATCGGTAGTTGAGGGTGGGAAAATGTGATAATTTTGAAGCTTTTCCAATGTTTTATGCAGTGCAGAGAGTCTCTTTGCAACAAATACGAAGGAGTGCCCATCTAGAAGGTTGCCATCCAGAAGGTTTTGCGACATGCGCGTAGCTTCGAGGGATGGAAAGGATGCGTACCCATACATACGACAAAGCCTTTTCTTTTCTGAACATAAATTTAGGAAAAAGGAAGCGGGTGGAAGCAATGCATAAGCATTAAAATTTCGTGAATGAAATCAATCCATGCATAAACCTGTGAGCTCGACCAAATGCACAAAAGGAAGCTAGGAAAAAGGGAAGCAAGACTTGGTACCATGACATTCGACGAAGCAAACCAACCACAAGAAAGAGCCAGAAGTTCCACTTATGTTAAAAAGTAGAAGTTAGAACTTAGTCATTTACCTTCGGCAAGAGTTGAGAAACTGCCTTGGCACTGGATCAGTACCAGATTGCGAAACGGGCTGAGAGCAATCAGCAGTGAATCATCAGCTGTCAAGAAGAGAATGTCAGACATACAGACGAAAGTAAACTGCCCGTCCTTTGCTGGTTTGTTTGGCCTCAACCCAGGTTCCCAAGCAATAAACTCCCTCCTAGGTAACTATGCCACACATCCAGGATGCTCTGGAAGCTCAGGCTACAGGGGTTAGCCCAGGGCTGCAATGTGCCGATGTTGGTTTCGGCCACGTCTGCACCAGGTTTGCACCACATTTGCGCCAGGTCTGCACCACGTCTGCACCATGTCCGCACCACATCTGCAATACTGGTTCGGACCAGGTCTGTACCAGGTCTGCAACACTGCACTGGACTGGGTCTGTACCAGGTCCGCAATACCGGTCTGCACCAGGTCTGCAATACCAGTCTGGACCAGGTCTGGAATACCGGTCTGGACCAGGTCTGGAATACCGGTCTGGACCAGGTCAATACCGGTCTGGACCAGGTCAATACCGGTCTGGACCAGGTCAATACCGGTCTGGACCAGGTCTGGAATACTGGTCTGGACTGGGTCTGTACCAGGTCTGCAATACGGGTCTGGACTCTGGACCAGGTCTGGAATACCGGTCTGGACCAGGTCTGCAAGGTCTAGATGAGGACAACTGAGTTTGCTGTTGAGATTGAAAATCATGCAGAACGGTCGTCTTCCTTTTTGGGCCGAGGTCTGGGGCAGCGGGGAATGACGGACTGTAGCGGGGTGGAATTGCGGTGATGGGTGTTGCCTAGGCTCATTAGGATTTGTGCACGTCTAGTTGTTAGGGACAAGACCCAGCGGTGCCACGTTTGTGCTTAGATAGCCAAGTCAATGTCTGCTTCAGATGAACCATGGTTACCATGGACCCGAGCACCAGACCCATCCAAAAGGCAGACTGCATGGTCCAGACTGGTTCTGATGGCTACATCTGGTCCAGACCTGGGGTGGTCCCCACAATTTTTATTTTTGTTTTTTATGCCCCCTGATGCAGGGGGTAAAATTAAAAGAAAGGTCTTTGAGTTTTCCCCCATACTCGTAAACAATCTTCAAGCTTCAATTGAACTCCTCCCCTAAAACGACAGCAGCACACCCTCCCCCCCAACATGAGCAATCAAGGTCAAATGGCGCTTTCAATCTCTCTCCCCAGACAAAAGGGTCCAAACCACCACGGAACACATCCAAAACCCTACGGAGCCTCTGATGGACTGACTAGAGGGGTCCAGGGGGCCTTCCGGGGGTGAGCGGTGAGGAGTAAGGTGTTAGAAGTATGGGCCTCAATTCATCAATTCAACTATTCGAAAATGTCGAAGACGAAATCCTTTACTGACGGTGGAGGAGGAAGGAGAGGGGGGGGGGGAGCGCAAGGGGAAGAAAAAAGGGAAAGTGTTTTTTCGAAAAGAAAAGGAAACACAAGCAGCATGGAGGCAGGCATCAGACTTCATGATGATGACGATGACTCAAAAGTTCAGCATCACCTTCAGCACTGTGATGAGCCAAGTCGGCGACAACATCAAGCATCATCAATGATGTGTTTGCCCATCATCATGGTGATCGTCATCACCACCATCTGCTAGAGTGTTCGCCTTTTTCTTCCCTGTTCTGTTGTGAATGCTGCGAGATGAGAAAGAACATTGGGTTATCGACACACCCATTCTCCATCACCTTCATAATCAAGGAACTGTAGAAGTTTCCAGTCTTTTTCTTGTTGAAAAGGTGGGAACACGGCGGACACAGTGTCATGAAAACTTGGAAGGTTAAAACTTAAAACTTAAGAGTGTTAAGACTGCCTCAACATCTGCGCTAGACAGAACACCACCGACACTGCGCTGCTCACCAGGGAAAACCGCAATTTGAAAATCGGAAACCATATTCTGTGGCTTTTCTAAGGCACGGTCCATCGAACCATGGCAATATTGGGCCAATAAAACCAAGGGAGGGCCAGCTTATTGTGACCTGTCCCCAAACCCAGACAAGAGAGTGAAGTACGACGCAACTCACCTTTGAAATGAACCTCTCAACCTTCGATCCAAAGCCCCAATACGGTACATCGACAGTAACCAGCTTGTATGCACACATGACCGGTTCACAAGTTTGCTGCAGAAAGCAAAGTCGGTGACAGGTGCAATAGAGGACAAGAACGAGTAAGCAAACACACTGGTTTTAACACAGGGTGGATGTGTGTGTGTGTGTGTGTGTGTGTAGAGAGAGAGAGAGA